TGTTCAATTGAGTCATCTTTAGCCATAGACATACATACTGTAGAACGTTTAAAATACATGCTATCATATCCAAAAATTGGAAAGTGAAATGATCATTAAGGGTTAGTGAAGTTGTCTGAAAACCAGTACTGAAGAATGCTATAGTTGGAAGAGTTTCTTATTGGTTTTTTAATGAATAATTGGTCTGACTTTTACGATAATACTGACAATTATTTATTGAGTGCGGAAAATCAAGTTACCAGGGACATAGGAGCGATGGCAGTGGAGCATGAATTAAAAGTGTTTAAACATTTGATTCCTCATCGTGAATTGAGTTTGCAGTGCATTTCTTGGAACCTCATTCAAGTTATGACATGCTCATTAAATGTGGGTGGTATGTTGCTACAGCTACTCGATCACCTGTAAATTTGCATCTGGCGTCTGCTAGTCATGTTAAATATAGGTGTATTGCTTTTAAGGGAAAGGAAATAATTTACTGGTTGCTCTTATAGACTTTCATTATTGAGTTGGCCAGTAAATATTGCACACACTGATTAGCTTTTCTCAAATAGTGAAAGTATAATGTTAGAAATCGTGAAATGACTCATAACTGTTCCTCGTGTCAGTTTAACTTATGATGTTCGTAGTAGAACAACCCTAGTTGTAGTATAGCCAGAACTACATTGGCCAGTTACTCAGAGCTCTAAATAGCTGCCGGGTTGAGCACCTATCACTTCTTATTTATTTCTAGTGTGATTCCGGGTTAACTCCGTTGTGTTATATGTTCTACAAAGTTCTAAAGCAATTGAGTTTCTAGTCGTCTTCCTTCCAAGGTAATTGGTAGATTGTTGATGCTTTATTGTGTGAAGTCATCCCGACAGTTTGACATTCTTGCCCACGGATCTTTAAATACTAGTTTTTGGTGGAACAGGTACAGTTGTTCGCCTGGAAAATCTTATTTGCAAGTGAACTGCCCGTCAATTTATTGAAACAGTTAGCGTCGAACAGGATTGCATAAAGAGACACCGTTATAAAGTAGTGTTAGAACTATCGTCTTGTTTTGGAAGTGTATTAGTACAATTCCGTTTACCAATGTGTAAACGACGTCATATGGTTTAATGATCACTCAGTAATATCCATCTACTTAAAATAAAGTAGACAGACAAGCGAAACAACCCACTTTTTAATTTATTCACAGTTACTGCAACAGTGTTTGTGTAAAATGTCGAGTTTTAAAAGTCTGTTTTGGTAAGTATTGGTCACGGGTTCGAAATGCGCTGTAACCACAGAGGTTTGGGCTGCTCACTGACATCCTCATGTAACAGAAGTAGCTCATGCTTTTTGAGATATTTAGTTGTGATAGGATCTGCAAAGTATTCTACAGTACCTGGATTTTATCATTTGTTTGTGTTTTTCTTGGTACTCAATAATGAGATAACTTTATAGCACGTTACTTGGTAACTCATTCTTAATTTCTTTGTGTACTTATTCTTCATTGTTGGTTAGGAATTATAACTTAAAAGTAAAAATGGTGATAAGTGTATATAGTCATTCCGACCAATAGGTTGCTTCCTTGACGTAGTGGTCGGGTTTGAATACCACAATTACTGGCTGAAACGCTCGTTCCCTCGAGACTAAACCATGCTGGACAGGTCTGTTAGATGGTAATAAGGTGATCAGCAGTTACCGTTGTAGTGTTAACTGCTACACTAAGGTCGATATCTGAGGATAAAGCCATTATGCCGGTTGGACGAGAGTGTGACAGCAGTAAGGTGTTTCCCGTAGATGTCCAGCAGTGCCACGCTAATACTGTCCTCTTTATGAGAAGGGGAGGCATGCCAATGCCTGGAAAAGGTATTCATAATTGAATTTGGAAGCAACTAACGAAAATCTCAGACTTGCAGAAAGGCCATATGTGACTGGCCTCAGGCAGATGTCTCTTGGGCTCTTCAGTCACTCACTAACCTTTCTTTTTTAGGTACCTCAAGCAAACCTAGCCTTGCACGTTAAGAGGAGCCGAGAAATGTCAACCACCCTCACAACTCTGTTAGCATTCAAGCTCTTAAAGACCACTGTCCACCTTCCACATCCTCACCTTCCAATCTTCATATCTCAGTCAGTTATCCTACATCAGCTTTAGTTTATCCCTATTCTGCACCTCTTGACAACGGTTTGAGTTCATAGAACAGGCACACCTAATCTACTAAAACCGCGCTCCGAACTACACTTTGGAGCTTTCAGTGCCCTAACCCCCCGACAAGTCGACCAACAAGCTTCACTAACCCAAACTCTGGCAACTCGGGCAATGAATATCTCGTGTGTGTTCGTAAGACACGTATGCAGAACCCAAGTGCGGTTACTCACCTAACCTCACCAGGCTAATATGGTGAGTTTATTAAATCAATTTTTCGCGTTTCTGCAGTTTGGATGGTTAGTTCTCATAGTTTTGCATGTTAAGGTGTACCACTAAGTGCTAAGGCAGAGAGTGCACTAATTGACTGGATCCCAGTTGACATTCACCTGCTCGCTGTTCGACTGAATGGCACAATGGGGACTAAAAAGGGTATTAAAACTCGCCGTTGTCTCTTTGTATTCTCTGCTTATGCACCCACTGACTGTATTTGGGATGAGTGATAAGGTCTACCGAAAGGCAAGAGTTCAGACTTGATAGTTGTTGCAGGTGATTTCAATGCACAAGTACGTAGGCTTAGTCAGGCAGAAGGACACTGGTGTGTCATTTTCGGATTCCCACTAGATAATGGCGATCACCTACTACAACTGTTCTCAGACAATCACCTATATCTAGCCAGTACAAACTCTAGACATAGAGAGAAACATTGTCTGACGTAGGGTTCACTGATCTCTACCCAGAGATGGACACAGACAGATTACATTACCATTAGTTATCACCTGCGGGTCGGTGGAAGACTGTCGCTCCTTGTAAAGCGCGTGTTTAGACAGCGACCACTCGTTGGTTCGAACACGTGTATGTCTGCGTCTAATTGGAAGTAGGGAATGTTTGGCAACAAGACCATTGTGAGTACAGCTTGACAATGAAAGCATTAAGTTCGCTTTCATCGAGAAGCTGGCTAGACAGTTATCGGAACGGAACAATGTTACTCATCCAAAAGAAGATTAGCATTATCTCCAGTCTACTGTAAAAACAGCGTTTATGAACTTAGCTGACCCTCGGAGAGCTGTTAACATGGACCAGCAGATCTCGGCAGCTTCTGAATTAATGGATGCACGCATACGGATCCCCGAGTATGTTGAGGAGTGAATGCAACCTAAGCGTGGAGTGATAAAATATATGCTCAACAACCGCGAAAAGTGGTATGAAACCAAACAAAACGCACTCAGCTATCTTGTATACATCCGTGCAGTAGGCAGTGAGCCACATATGTATTATGTGAAGGCTAATGATACTACCTGAATGTCCAAACCTTGGTAGGTGGAGTAGGGCTCAATCCCGTGACCTAGTAGTTGATGGTCATCCCCCTAAACTACTGAGCCACAGTTCCGAATTGTTATATGAATGAAAGTTAGTTGATCAGCTAGCCTATAACAATATAGATACCTAGCGGTATTACGTAGTGGCTCACGTTGCTACACTTCATTACCAACACAGGCTAAAAGACACGACAACAGGGAATGGAGAAATAAGGAAGAGAAAGTAGTCAAAAGTGATAGGAGGTTGTGAAAATAAAACAAAATGATGAATATTTTAGTGTAATGATCAAGATGAATATGTGTGGATATATCTGACTACACAGAGGTTGACCTAATTTGAGGATAGTTTTCGTTAGACCTAGAATATGCAAATGACATAGTCCTGTTAGGTGAAGACGCTGACAAGCAGCAGAGTCTTCTGGACGCCTTGATTGGCAACTTGGGAATGTTTGTGATGCGTTTCTCACCACTCAAATGCAAATTGTTGCTTCGGGACTGGTATTCAACAGTACTACGGCTAACAGTAGAGAGTGTAGAAGTTGAGTGTGTTGACCACTTCACTTACCTGTGAAGTAGGATCAGCCCTGGTGCATTGGTCAGTGGCCGACGAAATTTCTGCACGAATGCAAAAGGCTCGATTGGCTTTTGTCAACTTCACCTGTGGTGCCGTCGAGATATCCGTTTATCTACTAAGGGTCGCGTGTGCTGTACAATAGTCCGCTCTATCCTACTGTATGGCTGCGAAACATGACCATTGAAGGTGGAGGGCATGAAAAGGCTCCAAGTGTTTGGCCGCCGTTGCCTTCGTAGTGTAGGCCATATTCCATGGCGTTACCACGTGAGTAACTCAGAAGTCAGGTGTAGAGTTTTAGGGAGAAGAGGTCAGTTGAGTCAGTTGACACAGTTGTGAACCTTCATGGACTGAGATTGGCTGGCTGGGACATGTGTTACGTATGCCTAGTCGCCATCTGTCTCGTCACACAATGTTGGCCGAAGTGGGCCCAGGCTGGAAAAAGGCTCGAGCCGACTAGACTAAAACATGGCATCAATGTATGAAGTGTTTGATTGTTGGTTTGAGCCATTTAAGTGGGGCGATGCAGACCAGGTGGTTGTGATCGGCAGGACAAGAGGAACCAGTAGTCGGAGACTGAATCTAGATGATATGGCTGAAAACCGATGTCAGTGGCGCAGATGTATACACATATTATCTTCATCTTATCGCCTAACTGGATCTCACCATTTTCTCATTCCTCCTTTCTCTCTTTCAGTACTATATATTTCTTTTGGCTGAATTTTCTTTTTTCACCTTCCACTTCACTTCCTTTTTACTTGGTATACTGATATATGAGCTATGGCAACTAGGACCGTTACGCAGTTAATGCCTAGTCCTATATTGACTTCGATGGATGGATGGACAATACAACTTTGTCTTTGATATGAAATCCAAATAATGATTAATTTGAAATTCTTTTCTGCTTCATTCTAACTAATATATTTTCTATTCATTATGTTTCAGATAAATTATTGATACTCCCAATTGTGAATATCTATTCATTATCAACTTTATTTACATGGGTGATGATATGAGTGTATGCCGTTTCGATCCTCGTGATCATCAGACTGTTGATGGTTGTTATTCCCCATACAATAATAATAATAACGTTTTTCAGGTTCCAATTTAATATCTGAATTATCTATTATCCGTGCACAAAGAATGTCAAGTGAATTCGCTTTATCAACTGCACAAATCACCTATGAATCTAAGATGAAGAATTTAAAACTGAAAAGGAGGTAATTTCAAATCCCTTTTTTGTTTCTTATAAAATAAAACTTACAAATTTCAAGATTCTTGAATCAGAGAAGAATGGTTTAGTTCATGAAAATAATAGTTTGAAGAGAAAATATCATTTATTAGAATTTGAAAGAAGCTGTGATCAATCAAAGATGAATAATCTTCGTCAGACTCTTGATGAACGTATTAATTCTGTTCTTCAGTCGTCTAACAATCTTGGATCATCATTGACATTGGTGAGATTTATTATTATTATTCCCTTGGATTCCTAGTGGAACATAGGGTTTTAGTAGCATGCCTCTATTTCACTCTATTCTCTGCAGTTTTTTCAACCTGCCTCCACGACTGCTCACAAGTTTTCATTTCTTCTTCACATGGTCTCCTCCATGTCACCCTCGCCTTGGACGCCCAACTCATCGTTTCCCCTCTAGGTTCCACCCAAAGGCCTGGCACATGATATCCCCAGTAGGCCTTCTCAGTGTATCCGCAATCCATCTCCACTTTCTGCTTCTGCATATATGTTGGGTGATAGGTTGTTGGTTGGTTCGTTGCCAGATTGAGTTCCTTGTTGCTTATTCTTTCTCGCCATCTGATCTTCAGTAACGAGCGAGCGTAGGCGGCAGCTGTTGATGAATATCTGTCATTTTTTGGAAGTGCTTTTCGTGACGTCCCAAGTTTCTTAACCATCACATAGCAGCACTGACTTGACTGGATTGGTGTTGAAAATCCGGATGTTGTTAACCCTTTATGCTGAGTGCAATAGATCTCCACACTGATTTCTGGTTAACAAAAGCCTGTCTTGCTTTTCCGATCCTGAATTCGACATCCTCGTCTGTGCCTGTGCCGCCTGTAGTTGAAACGATGCTGCCTGCCTAGGTAGGTGAAAGAGACTACTTCCTTTAGATTTCTCCCGTTCATGGTGATTGGTACCTCTTGTTGTTGGTTGGGTATCTTGATCATCTGTTTCTTCTCTACATTCACTTGAAGTCCTGTTTTCGCCGCCTCTTCTGCCATCTTGTTAGTTTTTGCCTGTAGATCTTCGAGTTTGTGAGACATGAGACATAAATCATTAGTGAAATCCGATCTTACGGAGACAACGATGGTCGAATGGGTAAAGTCAACTCACATCCTCAGATCGGAGAAGCCATATTTCTCAAGTGTAGAATGAAACTGTTCGCACCAAAGGGTTGTAAACCCAACCTTTCACGGTCAGACTTACGTCGTGGTGGCGTCGAAGGTGACCCAGATTGACGTATGCCATTCTGACCTTCGATATATGGTTGGAAATTTCATGACACCCCACCCCATTTCAGTAGTGTAAAGCAGATACCACAATCACGGACACTAATTGCCAACTGATTAGATTTCACTTGAGTAGTCTCGCACAGTAAGCCGGTATTGTCCGCATATTTGAGGTCGAATAGCCATCACCCACGTAATAGGTCTACACCACCACGCACCTCCTTTAAAGTTATTTCAAGAATGTCATCGATGACAAAGTTAGAGGGAAACGGAGAAATTGGGCAACTCTGTCTAACGTCTCTGCTGGTCTGAAACAATGGAGACTGGTGGTTATATGCCCTCATTCTCCCTGAGGTGTTATTATATAGGGCTTCCATAATACCAATAACTTTCTCAGGTACGCCTCTCTCTTACAGACTATTCCGGAGTACAGCTCTGTCCAGCGGGTCGAAGGTAGCCCCAATGTCAAGAAACACAACGGTTGTTGGCCTGTAATACTTGTGGTGATGTTCAAGCATCTGACGGAGGGTAAACACATGATCGAATGCATCCACGACTTGATCGAAACCCGACCTGCTCCTCATCAATCATTTTCTCACGCGTTTTGTGTAGTCTACAGAGTATGATAGGAGCCAATATTTTCGACGCAGCTGGTAACAGACTAACACTCCGATAATTGTCATATACATTACGGAGACCCTTTTTAAAGATGGGCACAATCATGACTTCATTCCAGAGTGATGGACTACTCTCAGTCTGCCATACCTTCTCAGATAGTCTAGTCAGTTCTGTGACTGGAGTCGTTCTTCTGTCCTTAAAGAGGGCTGCGAGTAAGTTGTCTGGGCCAAGTGCCTTATGGCGTTTCAGAACTCGGAGTTGCAAATGAACCTCCGCTTCGTTAAGTGAGTCAGCGTTAACTGATCATGGAGCATAATACACTGAAACGGAAGATGCTAAAGCAATGGATCATTTAAACTGCTTTTCGAAGTGCTCCACCCAGCGTCTCAGGCGTCTTTGAAAATTGTTTATTGGCGTACCATGTACCTCACAGACCGTTTAACTAACATCTGGCTAATGAGTACCATTGGTTCGAAATCAAGGTTTTCCAACTTTTCTAGGTGGACATTCGTTTTCATCCTCTCACTTCCGTGGACAAAAAGATGGAAGAACCAACTGATATACTACACAGATAGACCGATAAAATCAACGTGGAACCTCGCACACAAGTGCATCGATTCAAGTTGCTACACTTCACCTTGTTAGTACACAAAGAATAGGTAAACAGAATAAGAGCGTTATTAAAGTAGGCAAAGGTGTATGACAATCAACAATTTGGAGAAGCTTTATAAGGCGTCAAGGAGTGAATATATCTGAGTCATCAAGAGTTCTCATTCAGTGATTTTTATCTCCCTGGGCGCCGGATCCAGAGGTAGTCTTCATCTCCCCACACGGCTCAAAACAACAGTCAGAGACTTCATCGACTGGAGATACGTCTTGGTCTGGTCACTCTTAACCCTGTTCCAACATAATCCAGCTCCCATAAACATTAAACGTCAAGGTGGATAGTGGAACAGCCTGCTCACCACATCCACAACTTGCCTGTTTTGTCTAGTACCCTTCGTCTGACTTCAGTATTGCTCACATGGTGATTCCAATAAACGCGAGCAGTGCTGCGGAGATATTTATGATCAAAATCCTGTAATCGCTTCATGTCTTCTACTTTTGACGGCCGTGTCACAGCTGTATAACAGGATAGAATGGACTACAACGCAATATACTCTGATAACCCGTAGCAGATGATGCAAGTTGTCGAATGTTGGACGGGCTTTTTGTATTCCAGCTGAGATTCTGTCATCAATGAGCCTGATCGAGCTGATACAATTCCGCAGTTAAGTGAAGTAGTCGATGCATTCCACCTGTTTACTTGCAGCAGACCAATCCTGCAGCATTATCTTATATTTGGCTGGTACGAAATACATGCCGAATATTTCTGCCCAACGTATTCCGAAGACCCTGCATTTTATCAGTATCTTTACCTGATCTAACATGACATTGTTGCCTGCATAGTTCAAGTCAACCAGATGGCATTCAGGGAGTCAACCAATCCCTGTTAATTCAGACGTACCTAAGGTTATATCCATTAGTACAACTATGACTAATTTAAATAGGAACAGTGGTAATAAATATCCCTAGCAGATAACACTAGTTGTCGTCAATTCCATGACAACTCTCCGTAAGCCCTTACACGTCTGCGTGAGTTCGAGTACAGAGCTTTGACTAGGGTTATGTACTTTCTCGATACTCCCTTCACAGTCAGACACTGTCATAAATGTCGCCCTCAGGCAAGTATCGGTCATGCTAAAGCTATACTCTCCATCACTTGGAAATACATTCTGCTATGTTAAACAGGCGTTGGTGAGCTACATGTGATATCATTTTTGGAACACAATGAATAACATTGAAAGCTTTATTAACATCTATATGATACATTGTGTCGACTAAATAAGCTAGTACTGAACATTCCACTACTTTCACTTGGCTCTTTCCGAACCAATCTAGTAAATACTCTCATATCTGAAGATGTACCTGCTTATTCGTACGCTTTATGTAATTTCAATCCTGTTCATCACCTCTCATACATTCAATATAACTCATAGACTCATATTCTATAAAATTAACTCTTCAATCTAAGAATCTGAAAATTCGAAATTGTGCCATAAATTGTTTGGAATAAGGTGAATTATTATTATTATTATTATTATTATTATTATTATTATTATTAAGGGGGGATATTTATTAGAAGTTTTGAATAGAAAATCAACAGCTTAGTTTCATCCCTAGCAGTTCATAAAGTAGTAGGTCATCTTTCCGAAGTATCATCCTTATACTCTTTTTCCATGTTTAATTAGTTAATTAATTAATTTATTTTCTTTCCGGTTGATGATTGATTGATTGGTTGATCTATTAATTAATTAATTAATTTATTTATTCATTTATTTCTTTCTTTCTTTCTTTAAGTAATTGAATAATTTTATTTTCTGTCATTTTCTTTGCTTTTCAGGAGACGGAAAGGTTAAGAGATGAAGTTTTAAACTATGAAAAACAATTAACTGATTTACAAAGTGCTCATTCTCAACTTCAAATGAAAGTGAAAGAATTACAAAGTTTATTAGAATTACGTTCACAGTAAGAATATTACTTGATCATTTATTTTTCACTTTTAAAGACGTTTAAAAGAGCTAGAAAAGTATGTAGAAGAAAAGTCGATAGAATTGAAAGAGTTAACAGAAATGAAGTCAACTATTTTTGTAAGTTGTTGTTTTTATTTATTTGATAAAGCATCGAATTATTATTCTTTGATATACTAAAACTAATTATGAAGTGATTATCGTAGCTCCAGTGGTGTAGTAAATAACGCTTTGGCGTTTGAAATTGATCACTTCCCAGTTCGAATACCTATGAGAAGTAGGTTCATCCACCTGATGAGTCTTAAATAGAACGAAATGGCCATCTTGAATTCCACTGTTAGTCACTATCCATCAATACTATCATTAGAGTACTGATAATATCGAGGCATCCGCACAAGATCCGATTTACCGATAAAGACCGATCAATTCGGTTCAATCAACGACAGTATGATGTAAAAACTGTACTAAAGTCAATGAGATGTTTTATGCAGGTCAACTTTGTATGTCATTCAGTAGTGGGCCAATGCCCAATCCGAGACTAAAGGATAACCTATCTAATCTTTGCTCTTCTTCTTGTATATATCAATTTAACTTTTCTTATGGAATAAGTTACATAGAGCGTACGATTAGGCAGGTATGTCTTCAGACACAAGAGGATTTATTGCCCCGCTTGGTTCAGAAAAGGCTATCGCAGTAAGGTTGTTCAAATTTGAATTATGCATTCAGAGAGAAAATGTTCAAGTTTTACTTCTCCCTTAACCTTCAGTAAACTAAACGTTCGATTCCTGTCTTATTCTTCTGTAATTTTTCTTAACTTAGCTTGGTTTTACACTATGCGCTTGGATTTTATAACTGTAGAACGTGATGATAATATTTATTGAAAAGAATGTTGTTTTCTATTAATGTATGTTATGAGAATCATGAAGAAAGATGTTTGATATTCACAAAACTTTAGGTACTGCTTAGTACGGAATACTTGTAGCCTCACTAACTGAGATTTCCTTTTGGGTATAGTACATAGTAAAATCATGATAAACCTATTCCATAGATAACTGGAATTTTTCATTGTTCTTGGTTCCCTTTTGAAAATGAATGAGACTTTGTTTTACTTAAGACTTATTATCTTTTAGTATCATTAATCCATTTGGTTGTTGTTGTTGTTGGAATCGTCATTGTAAGTGTTATGACGACGACTGGTTTGTAAAGATTTTCAGATTCACTCTCTAATGCTGATGACTGCGTATATCGTTAATTCCTCTTGTTTCAATATACATAGTTTCGACAAGCTAATTACTTAAAGGATTTTTTCTCTTCAAGCTTCAGTAGCACGTCGTCATTCCAGTCTTTTTAACCTGGTTCCATGACTCCACGTAAGGTTTCATTTGGTCCTCACACCATCTCCTCTATGTCACCCTCGCCTCGGACGCCCAACTCGTCGATTCCCCTTTAGGTTCCACTCAACGGCCTCACCTTCAGCGTGATTTCCCACAAACCGTCTTCTCAGGCTATATTAAATCCAATCCAATCCATCTCCACTTTCTTCTTCTGCACACTTGTTCGCTGATAGGTTCTTACTTCCTTGGTTGGTTCGTTGACACAGTGACTTCCTTCTTGCTCACACTTATCATTCTCTCCATCTGATCTCATCTTCAGTGTCAGTATCGGATGAGTGTAGATGGCAGCTGTTCATGTATGTCTGCAGTTTGTTGTGAATGCTTTTCGTAACGCGCCAAGTCTCTCAACCATCACATAGAAACACTGACTTGAACTTCACTGAATTAGTGTTGAAAATCTGGATCTTGTTCACGCTTTATGCAGAGTGCAGTGCAGTGCAGTAGATCTCCATACTGGTTTCAGGTTAATGTAGGAATCCCTGCCTTGCTTTTCCGATCATGGGTTTCACGTCTCTATCTATGCCTGTTCCACAGCCTGTAGTTGAAATGATGCTGTCTAGGTAGGTAGGTGAAAGAGACTACTTCGTTGAGGTTTCTCCCGTTCATGGTGATTGGCGCTTGTCATTGGTTGAGTATCATCGTCATCTTCGTCTTCTCTATATTCACCTGAAGTCCCGTTTTCGCGGCCTCTTCTGTTAACTTGTTAGCTTTCACTTATAGATCTTCGAGTTTGTGCGACAAGACATTCGACATAAATCACCATCGTTGGCGAAATCCAAATCTTCTAGGGTCTTCATCTTTTCATCGGTCAAACAGCGTACGCCCATCTTCTCGCTCTTCACAGTTGTTTCCTGCATGATTCAGTTGACCACAATCAGGAAGATAATCAGTGATATTAGGTGGCAGCCTTCTCTTACTCCTGTCTTCACTAACTGTAGAGAATAATTATTAATTATTAGCGCATCTTTTATATATTTCAGTTCCTTGTTTATGTCTTTACAATGACTAGTTAGTTTTCTAGCTCTATCATTTAGAGATTTTACTAAACCTACGTTTACTGACTAACATTGGATGCGATAACTTGATGTCTCATAAAAAAAAACTTGATAACTTTCTGAATATTTTGTTCCTTACATATAGTGTTTTGTTGTTGTTTACAACTTTAGAAGTTGACTTCAGAGAAAGCAATTTTAGAAGAACGTGTTCTCCTTGAATCGAATCGTACCAAAATGCCAGAAGGTTATGATCGATTTATAAGAGGTGCTAGTTATGTAGCTAAATTAGAACTGGAACATGATCGTTTAAAAACTGCATTTAAAACACTTAGCCAAGAACGTGCAAAATGGTTGATAACTGAAGAAGAAAATTCAGAATTACGCAATCAAATAGATATTATGAAGAAATGGCGTGAAAGAGCATTGATCTCAGAGAATGCTTTACTTGAAAAAGAAACTTTAATGAATAGTTTATTGTCTAAAGTTGATTCACCTATAACATCAGATGATAATCATTCATTTGTTACACTACGAAGATTAGAACGTGAAAATGAAATTTTACTTGCAGAACAAGGCGAAATTTATGCAAAGTAAGCATACTTGTGTTTGAATAATTTTTAAATTAGAGATTTATTGTAGAGTGAATGTTTTCTATGGGTAATATCAGTGATAGACAGACAGACAGGCAGAGAAAATGAACGTAGAAACTTCCTGGCGGGATCATGGGTGCACATTGCTGAGGAGTCCTATACTGGGACGAAACAACTGTCCAGTGCTCCCATGTTTTCAGTGTTCTTCCGACTGATGTCATTAGTTCATTGGTGACTAGCTTAGAGAGATGATACTCAAAGTTTCAATTAAATATTCTGACCACTGGAGCAAACCTGGTGATTGTGAGGACAAATAATCGACGATGACATTGAATAACGGTCGCGTTGTTTTGGTTAAGTGACAAAAATAGGAAATATGGACCATTCAATTACACACCAGTGGCTGAATGGTAACGTGCTGGCCATGGAACCTGAAGAATACATCAGAAATCACGACAATATTACTGAGATCACTTGGAATTGTTGTGGCTTATAAACCAGCAAATTCCTTTCGAACCACATTATTCAGACGAAAGAAAGCAGCAGCTAAAGGAGACAAACTAAACATCCTTTACAACATCAACTGCAATAACTGTAGTAAACACTACATTGGAAAAAGTGGTCGGCATCTTCGCCTTCGTCTACATGAACACCAATTAGCTAGTAAACGTCACATACGACATTTCATCACTCATTTCAATGCATGTGGATAACAACCATGGACATGAATTCAATTTGGATAAAGTAGAAATTTTGGATGGAGAGAGGAAACAGAGAATTTAAGGGAATTCCTTAAAGCTTAGTATTCAGGTCAGTCATTCAGTAACCAACAAACGCATCGACATAGACCCAATCTACCAACCAATGGAAAAATGATAAACCACAGAAAGGTCCGAGGTCAAGCAGACGAACGGCCAACAAAAAAATTTATACAATCAAGGGAAACGACCAATCACAAATCAGTTGGTCAGGACAAGCTACTAAATCACTGCTGGAGACAAATTTACAACTAACTTCATATTGAAGTTAGTGCTGTCGATGATGTTGTCTAGAAAGATGATGAAATCTCCACGATTAAACAACCCAGTTCAGAGAACACAATCCAACCAATACCATCCACCTGGACTGGAAATATTCTCCAGTATTTGATGTTTAGGTGTGTAACTCCTACCGCATATCACCATCATCATCAAGATCAATATAGGACCAGACATTACCACGTAACTGTCCAAGTTGGTACTTCTCATATGAACACATCAAGTAACAAGGCAGTTAAATGGAAGATGAAGAAGAAGAGGGAAATCGGCCAACAGAAGTAAGAGTAGAAAGTGGTAAAAGGAATGGGGATAATGTGTGGATATGTCGTCTGCATGACTAATATGAGTTGTGAACCCGTAACTGGGATGCAGAAGGCCTGTTTTACATTTGCCTTCTTGCGTCAGCCTTAACGCCCAATGGGGAGATGCCTGGCTATTTATCAAAGGGTGGGTATACTGTTGTGCAGTCGGTTCTCTCCTGTTATACAACTTTGAGACATGACGATCGAAGGGAATCGGAGCGTTTTGATCCCAAATGTCTTTGTAGCATTGCCCATGTTTAGTGGAATCACCGTGTGAGCGATATTGAAGTCAGACGAAGGATACTAAACAAGGCAGACAAGTCGATTGATGAGATTATGAACCTACATTGACTGTGATGGTTTGGACATGTACTGGACATGCCGAACGATCGCCTACATCTTTGTGTCATGCTAGGGGGAGTTGGATTTTGATGGCAAAGGGTTTATTGTGGCCGTTTAGATGAAGATGTGGGATTAGTCGATGAAGTCGGTGATTGTGTGTGGATGTAGACAAAAGGAATCAGTAGTCAAAGACTGTTGGCTAAAAATCGATCACAGTGATGCAGATATATTCATTGCTTGGGATCTTGTAAAATTTGGATATCATACAACATTGTCTAGTTTGACATTACTCCTATTCTGTCCACCTGTTCTTTGTGTAGTATCACGGTAAAGTGTGGCAACTTAAGCCGATGCACCTTTATGCAAGGCTCTGCGTTGATTTTGCCATTTCTTAGTCAGTCATATCACCTAGAATATTGGGCACTATGTTCATCTGTTTGATTCCCTTGTGGTTATCAAAAGAGAACTTCTCGCCTTTCTCAAAGACTGGGATAATCGGTGATTGAGACCAGTCAGAAAGGATCGTATTTGGCTCCCACACACTAATTAATACTTCAGTTAACTTAATTAAAATCACTAAAGAAGTAGTCCGTCTGGTCCTGCTGTTTTTCCACTCTTCAGGTTACCTTTCACTTTTTCGACTTCTGCTTATCTCAACGTTCCATTCAGGATCCGACTAGGATAGTGAGCAAAGCATTAGTAGCTGGTGGCCAGTTGAACTGTTCCTCGAAGTGTTCTACCCATCGTTCTAGTTGTCTCTTTTGTGAGTGAATCGCAGGCCCCATTCTTCTCCGTTGTTGTCTCACTAACCTTTAACCTATCTGTCCCAATTTCTTTACTAAGTCTAAATAATTGTCTACTGTTACCTATCACCGCTGCGTTTTCCATCTCTTTCGCCTTCGTTGCCCACTACTGTTCGAGGTCATTGTGTAGTCTTTATGTCAGTCTATATTTAAGTTGCATTCACTCCTCTCCTCATTGTACTCGGAGCCTACAATGAGGCGTTCGTATGAATCCATTAATTCACAAGAAGCTGGTAATATCCATTGGCTCTTTTTAACCACTCATTGAAAGTCAGCTACGATCTTCAACACTGTTTGTACAACAAAGTGGAGATGATGCTAAGCTTCTTCTAGATGAATGGTAGTGTTGTGTTTTGATAACTGTCTAGCCAGCTTTTCCGTCAGTCACAATCATGAAATGCTTGAGAATTCAACTGTACAAGTCAGGGGTTTTTAAAGGAGATGATTAAACTGTAGTTTGTTAATGCAAGACATTTGATATGGAATCAATCAGATCGAGGGATAGAAATACACCTCAACAAACTGTTATCTCATATATTTTATAGCTTATGTATGGCTTTATTGTTCATATTATACACGAACCTATGCCTTATTTCTAGAGCTGCCTAAAAGGCGTACTGTTTTCGCTTCCATATTAGCTATTTTAAAGAATCAGAATACCCGGACAATGAATAAAATTGATAAAAACGTGAATGGCTGCGAAAGGATTGATTCAATATCATCTTAATCATACTTATTACTGTCCCGACCCGCACGATTTTCGCGATTACAGTAAAAGTATGTGGATATCGTTTTTCATTTGATGAGGGTTTACTAGTCTACTAGTCGGTTCTAAAGCCGGAAAAGAGCGAAGGTTAGACGTGGGTCTAAAAACCCTACATCGGAAAATCAATCTAATCACTGAAGAAACTTCAAAGCATAGAAGAAATATAAAAAACAAACCTAATCCTCGCTGGAATCGGGCAGTCCAAATGACACCGGTTGGTGAAAGCCTTCAGGAAGTCAATTGGCCGATATGTCTTCTCTTGTCTCAATGAAAGCAAAAGTAAGCATAGGGACATAGAATGTCTACACAATGTTTGAAGTTGACTAGCAAGGCTGCCCAGATTGCAAGAGAGATGAGAAGGTATAGCATAGAAGTTGTAGGAACCTGCGAGAAATCTGCAGATGGAATGGAAGTGGACTCTCCAAACTGTTAACTGGAGAGGAGTCAATAATCTTCTCCGACATTGTCACCCAGACGACAACCATGAGCACACTGAGTTTTGAAGTGGCTATCATGATGTTCCCAAGAGCATTGAAGGCTCTCATACAGTGGGAACCAATCTCATGCATGATCATGACAGCAAGGTTCAACTCAGAAGGAAGTAAGGAAGGTGACAATCATTCAATGCTGATGCTACACACCTACAAATAATGCAAATGAAGAGAAGAATGAGGAATTCTACAGACAACTGCAATGAGTACTGGACAAGACTCCAGTTGGTGACATTGAAATTCTAATGGGTAGGGTGACATGAATGCGAAAGTGGGAGGGGACAACAGAGGAAGAGAAGTGATGATGGGTCGAGAAGCACTCGGTTAAATGATGAACAGGAATAGAGAACTGTTTGCAGACTTGTGTGCATTTAATGACTTGGTGATTGGAGTGAGGCAGTGTGTACAAACACAAGGATATTCACAAGGCAGTGACATGGAATTGATTTCACCAGATGGACTCAGTACAGTAAAAATCAGATCGAGTTTATTTCAATGTGAATAAAGTGGATGTGCAGCCAGCCTACTGTACATAAGATGATGAGATCAAGAAGAGGTGCATATGTAGGTTCAGACCACTCACTATCTAGTGCATGGAACCTTGAAAATCAAGTTGGAAGCCTTCAGAGAAGTTGGTGATAGACGACGACAGTTGAAGTTGAACAGGTAGAATAGAAAGTGAAGGAGGAAAGTACAAAGGACATCTGTTCACGTCAGTCACTCATCAGTGCAAGATGGGAGATATTGAGCAACTTCTGTGAAGAAACCTGTGTGTTGAAGTATACTGGAACTGTTTGAAAGAGATGTGGAAGGGACCTGCATAAGTGTGCTAAGAATGAAGAAGAAAGAAGACAATGAATGGATGTTGATGGACACATGGAAGGTGATAAAGGAGGGAGAGGAAGATGGTGAAACAGAAGGTAAACCAGTGCAGTGCAGTGAAGTGCATGGGTGAACAGCGAAAAGAGGAACTGAGTACAGCCTATAAAACTCTGGAGAAAGAAGTTAAGAAGAGTGCACGGAAAGGCAACGGACACTTCCCCGACACATTGGCAAGTGAAGCAGAACAGGCTGCAGGTAGGAGAAGCAGAGACGTGACAACAATATATCAATTTACCAGGTTACTATCTGGGAAGAGATCAACACAGATGAGACCAATGAAAGATAGTGAAGGAAACCTAGTTACCGGAGAGGAGAAGGAAAGGAAAGAATGGGCTGACCACTTTGAGAAACTTTTGAAGGTGGATCCTCATGAACAACACATGTTCAAGACACCTCAAATCGATGAAAATTCACAACTTCATTGACTGGCTTCCTACATTGTCTAGTAATCTTCGTCTGACTTCAATACTCTTCACATGACGATTTCATCATAAACAAGCAATGCTACGAAGACACTTGAGGTCAGGAACCCATAACTGCTTCATATCTTCTACTGTCAACCTCCATGTCTCAAAGCCGTATGATAGGACAAAATCGACTTCAGTACAGTAAACTCATTACAAGCGCCTTCATAACCCCACCACAGATTTCATCATCAACTAACTCTTTCGATTGGGTTTGTGCAGCTGTCTACTAATCAGGATTACTTACACTGATAGGCAGTTGTAGAGAGGAAATTTTGAGAGTGATAACTTCTTCACCTTTTCAAGGAAACAGTTTCCTAGGCGATGAGAGCGATAAATAACTTCGATTGTGTCCCAAGAGGGAGAGGGGAGAGGGGGGGGGGTTAAGTTCTGACTGAATAAATAGTGTGATGATGATGAGCGGTTAGTCATTTATCTTTTATTCATTGGCGCAGACATATCCATCTTGACAATCATACCGAAATTTAATTGTTGTCTCTTCTTACAACTTCCTATCGCTTTTCACTACTACGTCCTACCTTATTTCTGCATTCCCTATTGTCGTGCCTTTCAGTCTGATGTTTTTGTATGAAGTAATGTAACTTGAGATGTTACATGATACTGCCAGGTTTCTGAATCAGTACAGATTGACTGACTGGTTGATTTTCATTCATGAAACGATTCGTAACAGTGACTGAATCATTTCGGGGGATAACTGTTAAGCATTGGGTCACGGGTTTTAGCTTTAGATGATCTTCTAAAGTTTGAACAGCTAAGTAATTTCATCACTAGCCCTCGCACAATAGATGTGTGACTCATTGCCTACTAGTCAGATGCGCACAAGATGGATAAGAGTAGGGTCTTTATCTAACAGTTAAACCAGGTATTCTGTAGTTAAGTTGTCACTGAGTTGTTCTTTTATTCTGTCAATGCTTACAAACTTATTATAAATTTTACTATGTCCTCTTTTTTGTAGTAAGTAGTCGTTTATCTTTTCCCTTTTTTTTTTGCAGAAATAAAGAATTAATGACAATTCTAGATGAAAAACAGGCTAGTGAAATGAAATTACAAAGTCGACTACAAACGTTTACATCTCAGTTGGATAGATTGAAAAAATTACGCAAAAAAGGCAATCAAATTGTCCAACTTGTAGGCAAGGTAAATACGTGTCAGTTTTTCACTGTTGGTCTCATAAAAAGTCATCTCATCCCCTAGGAAACTGTTTCCTTGAAGTTATCACTCTCAAAATTTCCTCTCTACAACTGCCCATCAGTGTAAGTAATCCTGATTGGTAGACAGCTGCACAAACCCAATCGAACGAGTTAATTGATGATGAAATCTATGGTGGGGTTATGAAGGCGCTTGTAATGAGTTTACTGTACTGAAGTCGATTTCGTCCTATCATATGGCTTTGAGACATTGAGGTTGACAGTAGAAGATATGAATCACCTATGGGTTTCTGATCATAAGTATCTTTGGTTGTGGCTAGCAGAAATATTGGATTATGCTACAGCTAGGAAATATTCTTGGTTGTATCATTTATTGGCATTACTTGAAAGCTCAACCTAGATCTTGTACAATGTTGATTTGGTATTCGTCTGTTTTGTCTTAGAGTGGGACTCCTCAGCAGTGCGCACTCGCAGCCAACACGTTCCCATTGAGCAGTTGGGTCGGAATCTGGTGTTTTAAATTTCATACTTTTCTCAGTACACGATATACTGTGACCTTTACCCAAGGCTGTCGTTAAGTAACTGTCGTCATGACCTAGTCAGTTGTCTCCATCGGTCACAATTTCTCATTACAGCTTCGGGAATCATCTCTCGAAACTAGTCACTAATGATGTGTATGGCGATGTAATTATTGATTCCAGGCTGGTGACTATCTTCGAGAGGAAATTTCCGAAGTTCTAATAAGAAGTCGTGATCGGTAAGTTGGGGGGGGGAGGTAGCCAATTCAATGATGAGGACAGCTACTCAACGTGGCATTGATTGGAGGTCGTGATATATCGTAAACTGACAAAAGTAGAAATTATGGACCGTTGGATTGCGCCTTAATAGCCCAATGATAAGCTGAAGACCTTCGGTTCGATCTCTGGGGAGTGAGGTCATATGTGCACACCGCTAAGAAGTACTATACTTGGAGGAAAGAGCTCTTGAGTGCTATCAGTTTTCAAATCTTTCAATAGTAGTAGGTTATACATACAGCGTTAGTATTCAAGACAGAGATGAATTGTCTATCCTAGACGCAATGTTTTCCTGAGTATAGATACATTTAAGTAGAATGTTGAAGTTGTTATTCATCGTAGACTGACATTAGTTGGAGGAACAAAGGAAACATGGGAGCACTGGATACCTGTTTCTTCAGACTATTATGGGACTCCTCAGCAGTGCGCACCCATGACCCAACCCTCCCCGGATCGGACCCGCGACCTGGGGGGGGGGCAAAGCCTGATGGTCGTGAAGACAGTTACTCAACGATGACATTGCATGGCGGTTGCGCTATATCGTGAACTAACAGAAGTTAAAAATATGGACTATTGGATTCTGACCAGTGCCTAGCTCAATGGTAGCGTGCTGGCTACGGAACTTGAGAGTCGCGGGTTCGATCCTGGGGGGTTGGGGTCATGGGTGCGTACTGCTGAAGAGTCTCGTACTAGTCTGACGAAACAGCTGTCCAATGCAACCAGATTTCCTTTGTTTCTCCAACTGATGTCAGTCTACAATGAATAACAACTTGAAATATATTTCCAAATCCCCACAACTCCCTCAAGATGCAATAGAATGTTTAAGGTAATGTCTTCAGCATATTTTATTCTTTTCAATTGATCCTTTTATAACATTTTATAATCATTCATAAATTATATATATATTTTCATTTCATCAAGGAACACAGTTTGTGTCAAAATCTGTTGGAAAGTTATATACTTCATGAAAGTGATACGTTTAATATTCCATCTGAATACTTGAAATCAATGTCTAATTTGAAACAATTGTTTGGAGAATTCAGTGAAAATTACAATGATTGTGCAAATTCTTTGAATAATTTATTTAAATTAACAGAAAATATGAATAATGAAGAAACTAATGTAAGTTATACGTCTATGATTGTGTTAATTGAACATCTTCCCCTCCACCCCCTTCATACACACACCTCTGATACTTCACTGAGCCGTGAAAATCAGAAGGCGAAAAACCGGCTTATGACTGACTGTTACGAAGCCAACATTATTCAATAAAAAAATGTAAGTATTTATATACAGCTGCTGGTCAGAAAATGAAGCCAGTAGATAACCAATCAGCTGCAAGGAAAAAATTGACCAATTAAGGCCTTCTCAAAGTCGATGAAGTTGACTTTGACAGCGTCGACCGAGAGGTAATTTGGAAACTGCTTCAACACTACGGAGTACCACAAACCTTTATCAGCCTCATTCAACAACTATATGAAGATGTCACATGCCAAGTAATTCATAATGGAAAGCTCAGTGATGCTTTTGAAGTGAAGTGAAGACAGGAGTGAGACAAGGTTGTCTACTATCACTCATGATATTCCTGATTGTTGTGGACTGGATCATGCAACAAACAGTGAGGAGCGAGAAGAGGGGATACGCTGGCTGGACTGCGAAAAGAACCTAGAAGACTTGGATTTCGCCGATGATGACTTGTGTCTGATGTCGCACTAACTAAAAGATCTACAGGCGAAAACTAACAAGCTGACAGAAGAGGCAGGGAAGAGAAGATGGGACTTCAAGTGACTGTAGAGAAGACAGAGGTAGTGAAGATACCTAACAACAACAACAACAACGACAACAAGCTCCAATCACCACCAACGGGAGAAATTTAAAGGAAGCAGCCTCTTTCACCTACTTAGGCAGCACTGTCTCAATTACAGGCGGCACAGACGAGGATGTCAAAGTCTCAGAATCGGAAAAGCAAGACAGGCTTTCATTAGCCTGAAACCAGTGTGGAGATCTACTGCACTCAGCATAAAGTGTGAACAACATCCGGATTTTCAACACCAATACCAGTCAAGTCAGTGCTCCTGTATGGTTCAGAGACTTGGAGTGTTACGAAAGGGATTTCCAATAAACTGCAAACATTCATCAACAACTGCCTACGCTGGCTCCTTACTGAAGTTCAGAATAATAGGAATAAGCAATAGGGAAATGACTCTGGTGACGAACGAACCAAGAACCTATCACTCAACAAATATGCAGTGGAAGGAAGTAGAGATGGATTGGGCATACACTGAGAAGTCCGACTGCGGACATCACGCGCCAGACCAGGTCGTCGAGTGGAACTCAGATGGGAAACGACGAGTTGGGCGTCCGATGTGAGGGTGACATGGAGGGGATCGTGCGAGGAAGAAACAAGAGCTTGAGGGCTGTCGTGGAACCAGGTTCAAAAGATTTCAGAGAACAGAGTGGAGTGGAGACGTGCTAGTGAAGCCCTATGTTCCATTAGGAACCCAAGGGACAAATTAATATATAGTAATAATAAGATTTGAGATGAAAATATTTCTACCCCAACGACGAGTGACCTTGAATGATGATTTCCATGTTTTTTAGCCACTTCCTAACAGTTTAGATGAAAGATTTGATGTGCACATCATGACTAGACCAAGTTAAATATATATGTGTTGGCTCTTAGACTATGGTACTCATAGTGCGTTTTACACACCTTTGCTCTATTATATTGATTGATTGAAAATTGAGTATCTATAAAAAGCTTAGTAGATTGAAGAGATGGTTTGAATATGTACTTCTACTGGCATGCCAAGCCACTGCCTACCTCTATGTAGCATGCTAGGGGAAGTAAGATTAGGTTGGGAGAGGGTTGGGGATGGCTAGCTAGAGAAAGACGTGGCACGAGCCAATGAAGTCTCTTACAGTTCGCCTGAGCCCTGTGGAGGAGATGTAGACTGCCTGGTTGAGGTCCTCGAGACTAAGGGAATCAGTGATTTAAGACACTCGTTAACATCACCTTAAGCTTGAATATTCACACCAACCATTATCTTCAGATTGTATATTCTCTGACACAACTTTGTTGACTTTTATATAAATCCTTTTCTATCTACTCTATTCTTTGTGTACTACTATGAAGTGTCAGTCAGTCAGTCAGTCAGTCAGTCAGTCAGTCAGTCAGTCAGTCAGTCAGTCAGTCAGTCAGTCAGTCAGTCAGTCAACTTCATATTGTGGAGACCTAGTCGACAGAATTCGGTCAACATTCCAGTGATCAATCAGTGTATATATAGTTCTGTTTTGAAAAAGAAAACAGACCAGTATGCTTACTACACGTTCAATTAATAACGATTCCAACTCCTGACTGAATAAGTTGTCTGATCAAGGAATCCAATATTTTAAAGAATTAACTGTCAGTATCAAGGAGATTGTGTTTCATCTGAAGAGACAAATATTCAACAGTTGGTTCCCTAAGATTAAAATGATTACCATTTGGCTACAACTGTGGTAATTATACCGTTTCCATTATGAGAACTAACAAATGAACCAGAAGTATACCATGGTTTGAAGAAGAGCTGAGGTATTATTTAAGCGATAAGACAAAAGTAGATCATTCCTGTCGCCTTTAGCTTAGTGGATGGCACCCCATGTTAGTGGTGTAATGTCAAGACTTACAACCTGTACAGTCGCTAGGGCTAGACACGACTAATTCATGCATAATTCTTTCCTTCAGCAGCGTCATTGGTTCAAGATAAGAATTATCCAAGTATCGTATGCGAAGTACCAATATCCGCCACCCTGGTGTAATTGGTTGATACACAATCACTTTATCATTTTTTGTATGGAAACATCATCTCTAATTAACGACAAAGAGAGTATGGATGCAAAGCTGTGTGAAAGCATCTACAGGGCTGAGCTGACCCTCTGAGCTAAGGAGGTGGGACATTGTCAAGTTACCGAAGCTAAATACAATTCACATAAGACTGACAGCCTTCCATAATGATACTACAAATGAGACTACTTGAAAGCGATTTCCAATAAATGATTGGTTAAAAATAAAACAACGGGAGAAATCTAAACGAACTAGTCTCTTTCACCTACCTACCTAGACAGCATCATTTCAACTACAGGCTGCGGAACAGGCATAGATAGAGACGTGAAACCCATGATCGGAAAAGCAAGGCAGGGATTCCTACATTAACCTGAAACCAGTATGGAGATCTACTGCACTGCACTGCACTCTGCATAAAGCGTGAACAAGATCCAGATTTTCAACACTAATTCAGTGAAGTTCAAGTCAGTGTTTCTATGTGATGATTGAGAGACTTGGCGCGTTACGAAAAGCATTCACAACAAACTGTAGACATACATGAACAGCTGCCGTCTACACTCATCCGATACTGACACTGAAGATGAGATCAGATGGAGAGAATGATAAGTGTGAGCAAGAAGGAAGTCACTGTGTCAACGAACCAACCAAGGAAGTAAGAACCTATCAGCGAACAAGTGTGCAGAAGAAGAAAGTGGAAATGGATTGTTTGTCGTTGGCGAAGGTGACATAGTGGATAGATGGTGTGATGAAGAACTGAAAGTTTATAGAGAGTTAATTGTGTGTAGTTAGGTTGAAAAGACTTCAGTGAAGAGATTGAAGTGACGACGTGCTGTTGAAGCCATATGTTCCACTAGTAACCCAAATAATAGATAAAATAATAATGTAAGAATACGTCTTCACTACTCAAATTGATTATCAGCGATATTTCGCCTTTAACCTTTTATATTAGCGTAAAAAGTACTTTATTGAACATTGTATAATGGTAATAAATAGTAACTAGGCATATGTAACAGATGTGAAAGTTGATGAATGTCGACGAATTGACCAACTAACTTACTTCTTTTATCTACAACTTAATAGATCATTTATGTATTATTGGTGTTATTTAGTTTAACAAGATTACACCATATCCTATAAAGAGAATGGCCTTCTGTTATTATCTATGTAGAGTAGAACATAGAGTGAACTATTGCTGTGATAGATAAATGAATCATTTATACAACAAATGATAATGTATACTTATCATCTTGTATTTTTATTAATCCACTAATCTTCTCTTTATTATGTTTTGTACTGAATTTTTCTTTTCATTTAGAATAATGATTTTATGTAGATTTATCATCATCGATGATATCAATGTATGAAAATGATAGAGAGTTGATAAAAAAATTACGGTTAGTTATTTTTCTTTAGTTTTCATCTTCTTGTTTTTTCTTGTGTACTTGCTTGTATTACACCATCGTTGATTGGACCGAATTGATTAATCTCTGTTGGCATATGGGTTCATGTGCGGATGCTTCGATATTGCCTGTGTATAGTAATGATGGACAGTGGCTAGCAGTAGAATCCAGGATGTGCATTTCGTCTTATTTGGGACTCACTGGTCAGCTGGATGTACCTACCTCCCAGTGAGTGATGTTGTTCCCACTGGGATTCCAACTCCGGAGCTTATCTCTTCAAACGTGAGAGCGTTATCCACTACACCACCGTGTGATGGGTATAGTTTTGCTCGCGCATCCTGGATTCCACTGCTAGCCACTGCCCATCATTACTATTCTTGTTTTCTTTCTTATTCAGATTTCTATGAGTAATGAGGGTGATGATGATGTTGCCGCAAAGCAGCATTTCATCTTTACAACAAAGATTTGGGCATCTGAAGAAAAAGTGGATATTTGAGTAATGATACCCTATTCCTAAGGCTATTCGAATTCTACTGCCGCATACACTGATAGCTGGTTGTGTTGTTCTCAATAATTTTGGCCGATGAAGACTGCAACATAATTCCCAGAAAATTACTGTGATATCAGATGCTGTATCTATTTGAAGGCATGAAGGTTGACCGTTTATGTTAAGCGTTATAAACTTCTACTGGACTGGGCTACTAATACGAAAAGTAACTGTGATGCTGAGGAATCTTGGCGTAGATGGAAGTTGAGATAAGTTTCTTTTTCCGTTAACTGGGAAACGTATCCTTATGCTTCACTGTATGACAATAGCGATACTGATGTTGTTTTTATGTGGACGATTTTACCTAGTACCAAGCTGTAGAATGCCAACATGCAAATGGTGGTTTTTACTGGCACTGTTTGTTGGCCAGCGTGTTGCATCACCTGATGTAGAACTGCGTGTAGATACTGGGTGTTTGATAGCATGCACTTTTGTCGAGTTCTGACTGCTAACCTTTATCACAGTGATATCTTGATGCATATTAGTCAATTGCTGATATTCTTCACAAATATCTTTCAATATCAGCTCTGGATCTTGGGAAACGATGAGTTTGGTGTCTGAGGTTAAAATGGAGGAGATCGTGTGAGGAGGAAATGTAGACTTTGAAGCAGTTATGGAGCCAGGTTAGATAGACTGAAATGGCGACGTGCTAGTGAACCCGTATGTTCCACTAGGAACCCAAGGGACAAATAATAGTAATAATAATAATCCTCTACAGTGTATTAAGAAATTCCTATGAACACATAAGCAACGAAATAATGGTGACAACACTTGTAGAAAGGAGATCAAAGCCTCCATTGTGTTACGCTGTAGGGAGAGACATCAGAAACTTAACGTAGAATCCTCAACAAGCCAGGAATTACTTGCGGTAGCATTTCAATCTATAAACTTACTCAGAGATAAGCTTTGTCGGCTGGCTAAAGAATCTGATAGAACCAATTCAGCAAAATAATCTAATCTATTAAATTCCATATAATGACTGTGAGGTCTGTCGGGCTCAGTTAGATTAGTGGAGCATAGTAGGATAAAGCCATTGTACTTATGTTCAATATAGTTAGGTAGAGATAGAAGGAGTGATTGATTACTGTGGAATGATAAAGTTAACTGTCATTTCTGAATTTCATCTATTAAGTTACTAACGAAAATCTGTCACCTAAAAAAATAATTTCGAAACTTTATTTGTATAAAAGGTATATTGACGATACTTATTTGCAATGAAACATGTTCAATGGATGAGATGCTAAGACTTTTCAGTGGTTTTCAGCTGTCCATTAAATTCACTGTAGAGGAAGAGTTAAATTCAGTGTTCCACTTTCTAGACGTAATATTAAAGAGAAAGAATAATGACTCTATTGAAATGTTAGTCTATCGAAAACCATCCTCGACCAGCTAGTTCACTAACTTTAACAGAAGGATACCTCTTAGTTGTAAAAGAAATTTTATTCATTCACTGTGTTCCAGTATTTATAAAATCTGTTCAGAAGACACGGTACTTGATGAAATGGAAACTCTTAGAACAAGATTATCGAATAACGGATACCTTAAAAGATTTATTGATAAAAATCTGAAGAAACGAATCACTCATCAGGTTATTATATTTGCTAAGAAAATCTTGATAATGAATCTGAGAGACACCATAGCCGAAGTGCTGAAAAATCGTCTGTCAATAGTAGCTTTTATGCCGCTAAACTGGGATTATTTTTCTACAGTCGCCATCTGATTCGACAATGCGTGAAGGAGATAGGCTACCACTTATATCCACATCTATATGTATCTACGAATTCACATGCTCCTGTGGAGTTGACTATACTGGACGTTATATAAACGGGCCCTTCGAAAACGTGTTGCTAAACACTACGCAATTCGGTTTAAAAAAGGCGAACAAAAAACCAATGTCATTCCTATATGAACACCTATCTCGTAGAGAATCATCTTTCAAGGCAATTTGCAGAGTTAAATTGAACTACTTCAAAGATCTACGTTTCCATCACTTAAGTATAAGTAAAGTATTAGCTATACATTCAAAATCATTTTGTGAAACCACATTCTCTCCCTTGGCCTTAACAGTCCAGTTTTGGTTACTTTTGTCAATTTAATTACACTTCACTTCGATTCAAGAGTTTTTTCGAAGTGGTCTGCCCATCGTTTCCTTTGTTTCTCCTATTCGCTAACTACGTTTCCTTCACTATCTTTCATTGGTTTCATCTGTGTTGATCTCTTCCCAGATAGTGACCTGATTATTTGATACACCGAAAGCCTGTTCTGCTTCACTTGCCAGTGTGTCGGGGAAGTGTCCTTCATCTTTCCATGCACTCTTCTTAACTTCTTTCTCCAGTGTAGTGTTTTATAGGTTATGTTCAGTTCTCCTTCTCGTTGTGCACCTTCGCACTGGTTCATCTTCTGCTTCACCATCTTCCTCTCCCTCCTTTATCACCTTCCATGTGTCCATCAACATCCATTCATTGTCTTCTTTCTTCTTCATTCTTAGCACACTTATGCAGGTTCCCTTCCACATCTCTTTCAAACAGTTCCAGTATACTTCAACACACAGGTTTCTTCACAGAAGTTGCTCAATATCTCCCATCTTGCACTGATGAGTGACTGACGTGAACAGATGTCCTTTGTACTTTCCTCCTTCACTTTCTATTCTACCTGTTCAACTTCAACTGTCGTCGTCTATCACCAACTTCTCTGAAGGCTTCCAACTTGATTTTCAAGGTTCCATGCACTAGATAGTGAGTGGTCTGAACCTACATATGCACCTCTTCTTGATCTCATCATCTTATGTACAGTAGGCTGGCTGCACATCCACTTTATTCACATTGAAATAAACTCGATCTGATTTTTACTGTACTGAGTCCATCTGGTGAAATCAATTCCATGTCACTGCCTTGTGAATATCCTTGTGTTTGTACACACTGCCTCACTCCAATCACCAAGTCATTAAATGCACAGAAGTCTGCAAACAGTTCTCTATTCCTGTTCATCATTTAACCGAGTGCTTCTCGACCCATCATCACTTCTCTTCCTCTGTTGTCCCCTCCCACTTTCGCATTCATGTCACCCTACCCATTAGAATTCTGATGTCACCAACTGGAGTCTTGTCCAGTACTCATTGCAGTTGTCTGTAGAATTCCTCATTCTTCTCTTCATTTGCATTATTTGTAGGTGTGTAGCATCAGCATTGAATGATTGTCACCTTCCTTACTTCCTTCTGAGTTGAACCTTGCTGTCATGATCATGCATGAGATTGGTTCCCACTGTATGAGAGCTTTCAATGCTCTTGGGAACATCATGATAGCCACTTCAAAACTCAATGTGCTCATGGTTGTAGTCTGGATGGCAATGTCGGAGTAGATTATTTACTCCTCTCCAGTTAACAGTTTGGAGAGTCCACTTCCATTCCATCTGCAGATTTCTCGCAGATTCCTACAACTTCTATGCTATACCTTCTCATCTCTCTTGCAATCTGGGCAGCCTTGCTAGTCAACTTTAAACATTGTGTGGACATTCCATGTCCCTATGCTTACTTTTGCTTTCATAGAGACAAGAGAAGACATATTGGCCAATTGACTTCCTGAAGGCTTTCACCAACCGGTGTCATTTCGACTGCCCGAATGATCAGGCGGTTACGAAGATGGAGGATTGTTGGGGCACTTTATGTGATGTAGTAAACACTGAGTGTTCATCATTCAGACAATCGAAATTGACTCCTTTGTAAGCTGGTTTTGATTATTCTTCTATTTTCATCTCTCACTGAAATATTCATTGGTGAAAGCTTTCTTCAATTCATATGTGAGTAACTCTGTCAGATGAAATTGTTCCCACTGTATACTGATAATTTAATATGAGCAACACGTTGTTTATCTCTTCAGTTATCCGAAAAGATAAATATTGTAATCATCTGTTGTTTGCTTGATTTTTCTTTTCCTGTAGGCATCAAATATCTGAATTAGAACAGAATATAGAAGCATTAGAGAAGACAAATACTGAATTACTCAATAAACTCGATGCATACAATATGCGAGTAAGGAATGCACTTTTTTAATATTCAATCATTTGAAGTTAAGCGATCCTTTCAACCTTTGATAGAAGAACTTGTTGTTATAACCGTTAACTATCCATGGATATCGAGTATCAGCGACTAATGTTCAACAAATTCCTAGTTGATTATTCACCATCCGACTAATTAATGGAGGAGATATGATGGACATTTAGAAATGTGTATTGGGGTCGAAAGATCGAATATATATAGATAATTCGCTATATTATTATTATTTTTCCCTTGGGTTCCTAGTGGAACATAGGTCTTCAGTAGCATGTCTCCAGTGCACTCTGTTCTCTGCAATCTTTTGAACCTGGCTCCACTACTGCCCAGAAGCTCTCATTTCTTCCTCGCACCCTCGACTAAGACGCCCAACTCGTCGTTTCCCATCTGGGTTCCACTCGATATCCTGGCCTGATGCGTGATGTCCCCAATCGGCATATTTCTTGAGTGACAGATTCTTGCTTCGTTAGTTCGTTGCCAGACGAGAGTTCGTTGTTGCTTATTCTTATTATTCTGGCCATCTGATCTTGAGTAACTAGTGAACGTAGGTGGCAGTTGTTGATGAATGTCTGTAGTTTGCTGGAAATGACTTTCGTAACACGCCAAGTCTTTCAACCATATAGAAGCTTTGACTTGACGTCCGTGTTGAAAATCCGGATCTTGTTCCATATGCTGAGTGCAGAAGATCTCCACACTGGTTTCAGGTTGATGAACTCCTGTCTTTCTGTCTTTCCAATCGTGGCTGGCTTTGACGTCCCCGCTAAGTAAAATAATCCTATTGATTAGCTGATCCATCCCCTGTCTGTCTGTTTAACTGTAGAAGTGATAACATAAAGTGCATTTCGATTGGCCTCTCTCCAGATTAGGCTATTCTTTCTATCCCCATATCACCTCCCACTTCGAAGGAATGTTATTTGGGGTGAGACTGGACCGCGCTGTCTTTTTCTTGTATCTATGTGACCGACGTAGAAGGAGTTTGTCCTTGTAGTAGAGTTCTCAATATTCTTTCGGGGGGCAGATACACGAGCATGAAAATCAGGCATCAAGGCAAGAGATTTACCTTTCGATCGAGAATAAGATCTGCGGTGAAATCTGAAGGATGACCTTTGTAGACGTCATTGTGTGTTGGCTGCAAAAATCCTTATGCACCCCAGCACTACAGTCCCTTTATCGATGTTGTTTAGGTCGAGCGAGATTTGACGAAATGCCAGGTACCACAATGCCATCAAGGCGATAGGAGTGTCTTCTTGGAGGGATGGGTGGTATCGCATGAAGTACTGGGCCGATGAACCGGCGTGATAAAGCCAGGGAGTGATGCGGAGGAATGAGATGTCTAGTGAACTGTACATACTTCAGTACCATCCTGGCGTTCGTATTGGGCTAAACTAGTATCACGCTGTAGGCTATCCAGTCGTTGATATTCTACAGATATATCGTTTAGTGTCTGGACTGTGGCATCGAAAGTGTGATCACGTGGGTTTTGCAGCAAAAACACGTTACAGTAGAGGTCGATCTCAAGTGGAGCAAGCTTTCAAAGTAGGAGACGTACCTTGCAGGAATCATCTTGACCAGCAACATCCAATTTGAAGTAGTATTCGTAACGCGTGAACCAACACTATCGAAAGTCTCATTGACATCAGGATCGTAGGGAAATTCACTGATGGTATTGGCGATGCCATCAACTAAAGAAGCTATTCTAACTGGTATAGCAGGTGATGATTCAGTACCAGAAGTCTTGGATCGCGTATTATTATTTTTTTCCACTTGGGTTACTAGTGGAACATACTGCTTCAGTAGCACGCCTCCATTGAACTCTCTTCTCTGCAATCTTTTGAACCTGGCTCCATGAGTGCCCACAAGCTTTCATTTCTTCCTCATATGATCTCCTCCATGTCACCCTCAACTCGGACGCCCAACTTGTCGTTTCCCCTTTGGATTCCACTCGAGCACCTAGCCTGACCTGGCAAGTGATGTCCCCAATCGTCCTTCTCAGTGTATGCCCAGTCCATCTCCACTTTCTTATTCTGCATATTTGTTGGATGATAGGTTCTTGCTTCGTTGGTTCGTTGCCAGCCAGCCAGAGTTCCTTGTTACTCATTCTTCCTGGCCTTTTCATCTGATCTTCAGTATCGAGCGAGCGTAGGTGGGAGCTGTTGATGAATATCTGTAGTTTGTTGGAAATGCTTCTCGTAACGCGCCAAGTCTTTCAACCATATAGAAACACTGAGTTGACTGGATTGGTGTTGAAAATCTGGATCTTGTTCCTTGTGTTGAGTGTAGTAGATCTCGACACTGATTTTAGATTAGTAGAAGCCTGTCTTGTTGTCTTTCCGATCGTGTTTTTGACATCCTCGTGTGTGCCTGTGCCGCCCGTAGTTGAAAGGATGCTGCCTGGTTGGAAGGTGAAAGAGACAACTTCCTTCTAGTTTCTCCCGTTCATGGTGACTGGTGCCTCCTGTTGTTGATGCTGTTGTTGGTTGGGTATTTTGATGACCTCTGTCTTGTCTATATTCACTTTGAGTCTCGTTTTCGCTACCTGTTCTGTCAACTTGTTAGTTTTTGCCTGTAGATCTTCGAGTTTGTGCGACATAAGACATTGGACATAAATCATCATTGTTGATGAAATGCAAATCTTCTTCTGGGTTCTTTTCAGTGGTCAAGCAGCGTATACCCATCTCGTCGCTGCTCATGGCTTGTTGCATGGTCCAGTCGACCACAATGAGGAAGATGATGTGTGATAGTAGGTGGCAGCCTTGTCTTACTGCTGTCTTTACTTCAAAGTTGTCACTTAGTTTTCCATTGTGGATCACTTGGCATGTGTCGTCTTCACATAGTCATTGAATGAGGTTGATATAGGTTTGTGGTATTCCGTAGTGTTGAAGTAGCCGCCTGCCAAATTACTTCGCGATTGACCCTAGTCGAAGGCCTTTTCAAAGTCGATGAAGTTGAGGTAGAGAGTTGACTTCCATTCTTTACTCTGTTCAATGATGATGCGTAGCGTAGTGTTGCAATTTGATCCGCCTATGATTTGATTTTGCTGAAGCCAGTCAGCCAGTTTCGGTCGTAATTTTAAATGAAGATGTTTTAGTCTCTCCTTGATGACGCAGCTTAATATTTTGCTTTAGGTGGACAAGAAGGAGCATGATTCCTCTCCAGTTCTTGCAAAGACTGAGGGCGCCCTTGTTTCACTCTGCTGTTTCCTTTCCTTCCTTCCAAACCTTCTGCAGTAGTAGTGTGAGCATGTCCTCTATGGTCTCTGAGTCTGTTTTCAGTGCTTGTGGAGTAATTCCATCTGGTCCTGCTGCTTTGCCGGATTTCAGCAGTTTTATAGCATTAAAGACTTCTGCTTCTGTCGGAGGATCTGTGTTCACTGGTATCTCTGTCGTTGCTGGTAGTATTGGATTGCGTAAGTATCTCGATAATCCTCATTTGTTATTCGATGAAATTTGTCTAATTTCAAAGAATCCATTTCCCAATATCCCATTTCCATCATCACTGTTATGATTTGGAAACTGCTATACAGCTATGGCTGCTAACAATGCATTGATATTAAGTGTCAGCCACTAACATTCAAAAAAATAACCCTAGTTGATTCCTGACCTCACTCGACTAATTAATGGAGACAACACGATGGACGTGTAGAAAATGTGTATTTAGTTCGAAAGACTGAAGACTTAAAAAATAAAGGGAAATATATTATACATATATGTTGTACATGATAGCATAAAGTACATTTTTGATCGGTCCCTGTCCAGATAAGGCTTTTCTCTTTCTCGATCCCCCTATATATCGATTGTAGTCTGATTGAAATTGGCTTGTAATTTTTTCTTCACATTTCTAGGTGATAAGAAACATGAGTAGTTCACAGATCTTGAATAAAAAAAAAGTACAAATTTAATTTATGTTGGTATAATCCGCGGTCAGGTGTCATCAGTTATCTTAGAATTCAAGGAAATAATATTGTAACAACCAGTTGTTGATAAGTTTTCTGCTAACCTATAGATAGCCTGTACGTTGTTGCAGAGAAGTGCTCAGATTAGTGTGATTTTGATGGTGGCCAGTAGAATCTGGAAAAGAAGAAAGGTGTGAGCCGATGACTCACCAAGTACATAGGATGTATTTATATTTAATAATGAAAGATAACTGACAAACGGTGCAGCTGGACCACGAATACGTGAGGCAGTCTAGAAGTCGAAAGTCTAAGGTGAATAAGTAAGATTTCGAATGCACTACAATATGAAGGACAAGAATATGCAAACAAGAAATGGAGAATAAGCAGCTGCGTAGTTTAATTTAAACTTAAAGGAAGTAGTCTCTATCACCTATCTAGGCAGCACTATTTCAACTACAGGTGGCACAGATGAGAATATCAAAGCGAGGATCGGAAAAGCAAGACAGGCATTCATCAACCTGAAACCAGTGTGGAGATCTTCTGCACTCAGCATAAACCCTGAACAACATCCGGATTTTAAACACCAATACCAGTCAACTCAGTGTTTCTATATGGTTGAAAGACTTGGCGCGTTACGAAAAGCATTTCCAACAAACTACAGATATTCATCAACAACTGCCACCTACACTCACTCGTTACTGAAAACCAGATGGCCAGAATAATAAGAATAAGCAACAACGAACTCTCGCCTGGCAACGAACCAACGAAGTAAGAATCTGTCACTCAAGAAATATGCTGATTGGAAACATCATGCGTCGGGCCAGGATATCGAGTGGAACCCAGATGGGAAACGACGAGTTGGGCGTTCGATGTGAGGGTGACATAGAGGAGATCATGTGAGGAAGAAATGAGACCTTATGGGCAGTCGTGCAGCTAGGTTGAAAAGATTGCAGAGAAGAGAGTGCACTGGAAACGTGTTACTGAAGCAGTATGTTCCACTAGGAACCCAAAGGATAAATAATAGTAATAATAATAATAATAATAATAATAATAATAATAATAATAGTATAAATTTGTACTTATCGAGTTTCTCTGGAGTTTTATATGGTGCTTTTCTCATATTTCAACTTAGTCTGTTATGAACACGTAGAACAATGAATTCTGCTCCTATAGCATTCTCATACCAATAGGTAGTGACATCATAGGGTTTGTAGTGTGCATTTGAAGTTTTCTACTTTTTCTCTCAAATGAATATTATGCATAAATGTACACGATGATAAGACTTGCATGATGTGAGGCAACTTGACCTCAGCTTTAATTCTATATTCACTGACTTACAAAAGCCACTTCTTATATACTAGATTCGTTGGAATCCAGGTTGGACAAAGTCTTAGGGTGGCCAGACTGTGATATGATATTAATGTATGAAGTTGACTGTTTGCGTTTAAGCCATGTAAAGTGATATAGGCTAGCTCATCGGGGTCCCCAGAATAAGAGAAACGAGTGAGTTGTTGGAGACTCTTTTATCACATTCTACTTTCTTTGACGGATTTTTCTTCGACCGTTGTTCAGTGAATAATACCGGCTCGTGTGTTGATCTTGATGATCATGATGACGACGACGACGATATCGAGGTTACAACTACTGTGAAATTGCTTTACACCTGCAAGTTGTTTTGTCGACATGGAGTTATCAGTGATTATTATTATATATTATTATTATTTTTCCCTTGGGTTCCTAGTGGAACATAGGGCTTCAGTAGCACATTTCCACTACACTCTATTCCCTGTAATCTTTTCAATCTGTCTCCACGACAGCCCACAAGCTTTCATTTCTTCCTCATATGATCTCCTCCATGTCACCCTCACATCGGACTCCCAACTCGTCACTTCCCATCTAGGTTCCAGTCGACGACCTGGCCTGTTGCGTGGTGTCCCCAGTCGGACTTCTCAGTGCATGCCCAATCCATCTCCTCTTCCTTCCACTGCATATTTGTTGGATGATAGGTTCTTGCTTTGTTGGTTTGTTGCTTGGCCAGGGTTCCTTGTTGCTTATTCTTATTATTCTGGCCATCTGGTTTTCAGTAACGAGTGAGCGTAGGTGGAAGTTGTTGATGAATGTCTGTAGTTTGTTGGAAATGCCTTTCGTAACGCGCCAAGTCTTTCAACCATATAGAAACACTGAGTTGACTGGTATTGGTGTTTAAAATCCGGATATTGTTCAGGGTTTATGCTGAGTGCAGAAGATCTCCACACTGGTTTCAGGTCGATGAACTCCTGTCTTTCTGTCTTTCGGATCGTGGCTGTCTTTGATGTCCTCGTCTGTGCCTGTGGCTGTGCTGCCACCTGTAGTTGAAGCGATGCTGCCTTGTCTATGTAGGTGAAAGAGACTACTTCCTTTAAGTTTCTCCTGTTGATGATGATTGGAGCTTGTTGTTGTTGTTGTTGGTGATGTTGGTTGGGTATCTTCATCACCTCTGTCTTCTCTACGTTCACTTGGAGTTCCGTTTTCGGTGCCCCTTCTATCAACTTGATAGTTTTTGCCTGTATATCTTCAAGTTCATGTGATATTAGATGTAAGTAATCGGCGAAATCGAAATCTTCTAGGATTTTTTGGATGCAACGTGTGCCCCTTTTCTCGCTCCCCACGGTTTGTTGCATGATCCAGTTGACCAGAATCAGGAAGATGATCGGTGATAGTAGGTGTCAGCCTTGTCTTATTCCTGTCTTCACTTCAAAGGCATCACTCAGCTCTTATGTAGTCATAGTGATAACAGCAAGTTAATGAATAAAGAATGTATAATAATCGAGTACATTGTCTTGTTTTTGATATAGATGTTACTAAGACAGTCAACAATTGTTGTATTTGTTCTCCTATATATCGGTTTTGTATAAATTGACGTAGCAAGTAAATATTCGATCAGATTGTTTAAAATGTGTATTGTGTAAATACATCATACACTGTTTAGATAAACTTCGTCCTCTAATCTCACTATCGAAATCTAGAAAATAATTCAGGAATTGCATTGCATGGATTAATACACAAGCAAACAATAGGATGGGTGGGATAAAACCACTGTGTACTTAAATTCAGTATAATTAGATGGAGATTGTGAGAGATTGATTATTGAATCATTTTTTGTTCATCGAATCAACACTTAACCAATACATGTGGAATTGAAATGACACAACACCTTCGTCATATTCCATATATGGAGAGCTTTACTATCAGCTAAACCATAGTTTATCAGGTGGAGCTTGGGGGGTGATGATACAAATGTCTAGAGAAAGGGGAGTTTGTTAAATATTTATGGTTGGCAAATGTTCTTATTGGTAACAGTCTAGTTTCATATCAAACTTACATATTTGTTCTTCAGTTAGAAATCCTGTTACTCACCTGTGTAAAGTTATTCCAGTATCACAATCAGTAAGTAAACGCTTCCAACCACTTCTGTTTTCTTTATTGATCATGCCTACATTGGTCATATTGCCTAGAAAATTGTTCATATATCTGCTATTAATCAAGGGCTATCGCTTTATAGTATCGAAAAGTGAGAATTTTCTAAGTTATGGGAATTTGAAGGCTAATTTATGCAATCGAGATATGCGATAATAAATGTGATACTGAGAGGAAGATACCTTGGATATGTACTAGTGCGCATGTTGAGCCCACCGCCTACCTTGATGTACTACTATACTAGTAGAAGTTGAATTACGTTGGAAGAGTGTTCTGAGTGGTTAAATCAAGACGTGCTATCAGTTGATGAAGTGTCTTACTGTTGACCTAAACCGTATAGGGAGATGTAGACTGCTTGATTAGGGTCCTCGAGACGTAATGGTGATACGGTTGGAAATCGATCATTTGTTTCTTTGTGTTTTCTCTCTCTCTCACACACACACACACATTCTTAGGGTATGTGTGATACAGAAAAGACGAAAATATTAACTTATAAACATAGACCTGGAGAAATAATTAAAAGGAACTTATCATCTGAAGTGACGGAACTACGACTGTTAACGGAACGTCAACGGCAGCGTATTCAAGTAGGTTACTGAACAACTTTTTTATCATAACGTTTTATATCATTTTAACGACATGATTTAAGTGAAAGGAGAAAAAGTAGTCTGTTTTGTTAGTTAGTAGAGGAATCTACGATATGCATTTCGTTCCATTTAGGACTTGTCAGCTGGATACACTTACATCCTAATGAGTAATGTTGTCCTCCCCACGGACCCTGTTACCGAGGACCGATCGATATTCACTGAGTTATGATGGCCACTTCAGCTTCTATTCACTTATGATTCTGATGCGAGATTTTCTTTTGTCTATTAAGGTCAATATGAACTTTTCTGGATAATGAAGTCTACTCTATTGTATGTTCTGTCTCATGCATCGACCCACTTACTGTTTCTAAGTCTCATTATCAAAATTCTTTTTCGAAATATAGTATCACCTAGCGAGTAAAGACATTAAAAGGCGGTGACTCATCACTGAAACGATTGCTTATTTGATGAATAATTGTGATCGGAATAGCTTACGGATAATATCTCTCTAACTGAACCATTGGGTTACATGATTTCGAATCTGAAGTGGAGATACGCGTTGCTGACGAGTGAGTACCGTTAACCAATATGCAACCTAGATATAAGGCATTCTGACGATTGCCTCTATTCAATTAACATTTATCAAAGTGAATCACAACCTCGCCTAGTTTATTAGTTCACCAGTTTACTCGTCGGTTCTAAGGCCTGATAAAGAGGGAAGGTCGGGCATAGGGCTAGCAACTCTACCCCGTAAAACCAATTCAACCGCTACAGAAACTTCAAAGCATAGAGAAAATAAAAAAAACAAACCTATTTCTCGCTGGAATCGGGCAGTCGAAATGACACCGGTTGGTGAAAGCCTTCAGGAAGTCAATTGGCCAATATGTCTTCTCTTGTCTCTATGAAAGCAAAAGTAAAGCATACGGACATAGAATGTCCACACAATGTTTAAAGTTGACTAGCAAGGCTGCCCAGATTGCAAGAGAGATGAGAAGGTATAGCATAGAAGTTGTAGGAATCTGCGAGAAATCTGCAGATGGAATGGAAGTGGACTCTCCAAACTGTTAACTGGAGAGGAGTAAATAATCTACTCCGACATTGCCATCCAGACTACAACCATGAGCACACTGAGTTTTGAAGTGGCTATCATGATGTTCCCAAGAGCATCGAAGGCTCTCATACAGTGGGAACCAATCTCATGCATGATCATGACAGCAAGGTTCAACTCAGAAGGAAGTAAGGAAGGTGACAATCATTCAATGCTGATGCTACACACCTACAAATAATGCAGATGACGAGAAGAATGAGGAATTCTACAGACAACTGCAATGAGTACTGGACAAGACTCCAGTTGGTGACATTGAAATTCTAATGGGTAGGGTGACATGAATGCGAAAGTGGGAGGGGACAACAGAGGAAGAGAAGTGATGATGGGTCGAGAAGCACTCGGTGGAATGATGAACAGGAATAGAGAACTGTTTGCAGACTTGTGCGCATTTAATGACTTGGTGATTGGAGTGAGGCAGTGTGTACAAACACAAGGATATTCACAAGGCAGTGACATGGAATTGATTTCACCAGATGGACTCAGTACAGTAAAAATCAGATCGAGTTTATTTCAATGTGAATAAAGTGGATGTGCAGCCAGCCTACTGTACATAAGATGATGAGATCAAGAAGAGGTGCATATGTAGGTTCAGACCACTCACTATCTAGTGCATGGAACCTTGAAAATCAAGTTGGAAGCCTTCAGAGAAGTTGGTGATAGACGACGACAGTTGAAGTTGAACAGGTAGAATAGAAAGTGAAGGAGGAAAGTACAAAGGACATCTGTTCACGTCAGTCACTCATGAGTACGAAATGGGAGATATTGAGCAACTTCTGTGAAGAAACCTGTGTGTTGAAGTATACTGGAGCTGTTTGAAAGAGATGTGGAAGGGAACCTGCATAAGTGTGCTAAGAATGAAGAAGAAAGAAGACAATGAATGGATGTTGATGGACACATGGAAGGTGATAAAGGAGGGAGAGGAAGATGGTGAAGCAGAAGATGAACCAGTTCGAAGATGCACAACGAGAAGGAGAACTGAACATAACCTATAAAACACTACACTGGAGAAAGAAGTTAAGAAGAGTGCATGGAAAGATAAAGGACACCTACACGACACATTGACAAGTGAAGCAGAACAGGCTTTTGGTATATCAAATAATCAGGTCACTATCTGGGAAGAGATCAACACAGATGAAACCAATGAAAGATAGTGAAGGAAACGTAGTTAGCGAATAGGAGAGACAAAGGGAACAATGGTCCGACCACTTTAAGAAGTTCTTGAGTCGACCACTATCACCTGTAACTCGTCCATAGATATCACCAGCAGCCACAAAGCTATCAGTGAATACAAATGGCAACGTGCTACTGAGACCCTTTGTTCCACTAGGAACCCAAAGGATAAATAATAAATAGGTAAAACTGTACCATAATTAGCTTCCTATCTAACTTGTCATAATGCAAAATGATTGATTAGGTGTAATCTGCACGCAGAATGAATTATACTGAATAAATTTTGTATATCCATTCACTTTGGTGAATGGATTGTTATCCCTCTTCCTCTGTGATTTAGGTCTTAGAAGAACGTGTTGTCTATTTAACAGAACATCGTGGTCAAGGGAAGGGGGACAATGATGTCACAATGGATTTAGATGTTACAAATACTGTGGAAAATCGATTACGCTCTAATCCAGATCCATTAACTGAACTTGCAGGTGAGTTATCATGAACCGGTGATTATGGCAGCTTTAAATTCTATTTAAACAATGACTATGACGTCCAAATTATCAAACTTTTGGAAAAAATCATGAACTAAGAGAAGTAGGAAACTGTGGACTAGTGATTCAATGGTGAGGTGCTGGGTTCAACCTCTGGCAGCCTCACGGATGTGCACTACTAAGAAATCCCATACTAGGACGAAACAGCTATCTATTGCTCCCAGATTTCCGATGTATTCTTTAGACTTTGAGGTTTTTTTCTTAGACGTTTCATTTTTAGGCTAGACGTATTCAACAGCATTTACTTCAAACAGAAATAAAGCAGTTTTAAGTTGCATGACGTTGTTGATGATGATCAATTGTCGGCCTTAAATGAATTGGAAAACATGTCCAGTTTCATCTACCAAACCATTGTGTTCCTGGATATTGTTATAAATAGTATACATGATGGAACCTTATAAACTGAAGTATACCGTAAATGGACACATGTGGATCAACTTTTGAACTACGACTGTAACAACCTAATATCTTATAAGAAGAGTTGTGTACAAGCACTATTTGCACATTATTATTTGTCCCTTGGGTTCCTAGTGGAACATAGGGCTTCAGTAGCATGTCTCCAGTGCACTCTGTTCTCTGCAATCTTTTCAACCTGGCTCCATGACAGCCCACAAGCTTTCATTTCTTCCTCACATGATCTCCTCCATGTCACCCTCACATCGGACTCCCAACTCGTCACTTCCCATCTGGGTTCCACTCGACCGACGACCTGGCCTGGTTCGTGATGTCCCCAGTCGGACTTCTCAATGCATGCCCAATCCATCTCCTCTTCCTTCCACTGCATATTTGTTGAGCAGTAGGTTCTTGCTTTGTTGGTTCGTTCCCAGAGTTAGTTCCTTGTTGCTTATTCTTATTATTCTGGCCATCTGATGTTGAGTAAGGAGTGAGCGTAGGTGGCAGTTGTTGATGAATGTCTGTAGTTTGTTGGAAATGCCTTTCGTAACACGCCAAGTCTTTCAACCATATAGAAACACTGAGTTGACTGGTATTGGTGTTTAAAATCCGGATATTGTTGACGCTTTATGCTGAGTGCAGAAGATCTCTACACTGGTTTCAGGTCGATGAACTCCTGTCTTGCTGTCTTTCTGATCGTGGCTGTCTTTGACGTCGTTATCTGTGCCTGTGGCTGTGCTGCCACCTGTAGTTGAAACGATGCTGCCCTGCCTATGTGGGTGAAAGAGACTACTTCCTTTAAGTTTTTCTCGTTGATGATGATTGGAGCTTGTTGTTGTTGTTGGTGGTGATGTTGGTTGAGTATCTTCATCAATATTTGCACATGGCAAGACTTATCGTTAACACTCAGCAACTATGAAAGTCCAAGGAAGTCACCTTTGACAAGTGTATACAGCCAATGACTAGTTCATTTATTGGATCAAGAAATGATTATTGACAGGATATCGCGAAATAGGGCTGTCAACGGACTATTCTATCCATTAGGTATCAGTATGACACACGAATAAATCAATTACCTGTTGAATAGCTTATATAAGTTAAAGGATCTATTATTCAAAGGAAGATAAGACTCATATTATTATATAGTTGTTAAGGTCTGTCAACAATGTGGAGTACTACAACAAGCAAACTCAAAAATGGCATTACGTTTTGCTTTTACATAATAGGCGAAGGGTTCAATGTGTATCTGTGTGTTTATGTGTTTATATCAAGTTGTACAGCTATGAGATATGGCCATCGAAAGTTGAAGAAATGAAGTGGTTACAGATGTCTTCGTAAGATTGCTGGCGTTTAGTGTAATCAATATATAAGCAGTGTTGATGTTTTGTGGAAGGTAGGTACTCAGAAAGAGAGTTAACTCGATTGTTGAGGTTATGAACGTTAATTGACTGAGATAGATGGTTTCTACGTGTACTGCGCATGCCCAGTCACCATTTACTTCGATGTGCCATCCTAGAAGAAGTTGGATTAGGATGGAAAATGGTTCAGGATGGCAGACTGACTGACTGACTGTGGTCCTCCAGGTGATAGGAATCAGTGACATGGCTGAAAATCTGTTATAATGACTTCTGAAGCTTGAATATTCGCACTAACCTCAAGGAAACGACCAATCACAAACCATTTCGTCAGGGCAAGCTACTAAATCACTGCTGGAGACAAATTGACAGCTTACTACATATTGAAGTTAGTGCTGTCGATGATGTTGCCTAGAAAGATGATGAAATCTCCACGATTAAACAACCCAGTTCAGAGAACACAATCCAACCAATACCATCCACCTGAACTGGAAATATTCTCCAGTATTTGATGTTTAGGTGTGTAACTCCTACCGCATATCACCATCATCATCAAGATCAATATAGGACCAGACATTACCACGTAACTGTCCAAGTTGCTACTTCTCATATGAACACATCAAGTAACAAAGCAGTTAAATGGAAGATGAAGAAGAAGAGGGAGATCGGCCAATAGAAGTAGAGTAGAAAGTGGTAAAAGGAATGGGGATAATGTGTGGATATGCCGTCTGCATGACTAATATGAGTTGTGAACCCGTAACTGGGATACAGAAGACCTGTTTTACATTTGCCTTCTTGCGTCAGCCTTAACGCCCAATGGGGAGATGCCTAGGTATTTATCAAAGGGTGGGTATACTGTTGTGCAGTCGGTTCTCTCCTGTTATACAACTTTGAGACATGGCGGTTGAAGCGAATTGGAGTGTTTTGACCATAGATGTCTTTGTAGCATTGCTGGCGTTTATTAGGATCACCGTCGATTGATGAGATTATGAACCTACCTACATTGACTGTGATGGTTTGGACATGTACTGGACATGACGAACCATCGCCTACATTTTGGTGTCATGCTAGGGGGAGTTGGATTTTGATGGCAAAGGGTTTATCGTGGCCGGTTAGATGAAGACGTGGGATTAGTCGATGAAGTTGGTGATTGTGTGTGGATGTAGACAAAAGGAATCAGTAGTCAAAGACTGTTGGCTAAAAATCGATCACAGTGATGCAGATATATTCATTGCTTGGGATCTTGTAAAACTTGGATATCATACAACATTGTCTAGTTTGACATTACTTCTTTTCTGTTCATCTGTTCTTCATGAACTTGTATGAGGTGTGTGTGTGTGTGTGTGTCAATTATTCACAAGTAAACGATATTTTATCAATTGTATTTGATATTGCTTATACTTTTTTTCATATTGTTTCCCACTTTTAGAAGTGAAAGAACAACTTCGTGTAGAACGTTTACGTGCTGATCGATTAATGGAGTTATTTAATAAAGCTAAACTGAAATATCGTTCATGTTGTCGTGATCTATTAGGATATCGTATAAACATTCAATCATGTGGTGATTGTCAAGTCTATCCTGTTTTTACATCCAATGATGCAGATAATTTATACTTTAAGGTATGATATATATATATAATGTGAATAAAGATTTCTCTATGTTAAGTTCCTTTAAGTTTTATTGTTATCTAATGGAATTGTTTTGAATAGGATCAAGGTGAAGTTATTCGATTCAATAGAATTGATCGATGACCATCCATTTATCCATATCAATATAGGATCATGGATTACTGCATAACGGTTCGACTTTCTACAGCTTATATATCAGTACATCGAGTAAAAAGTCAATGAAGGCAGTGGAAGATGAAAATTTGGCGATTAGTTTAAGAAGGATAAAGGATGCTGTTCTGTGGATTCAAATCGTTATCAAAGGCTGTAGAGTTAGGAGAAATTAAAGATGATGTAGTATCGTTAGTGAATTGAGAGATATGAAGAAAGATTAGAAGGTAATGGTGATGAAGGAGGTGAATAGCAGTCTGAATAAACTTGAGTACTGACAGATTTGTGAAGGTGGTTGACACTTCCCGATCTCAGAGGCCATGGGACATCTCCTTGAAGCCTGTCTGTTACACGTAGCTTTTTGTGTATAGTTGTTTTGAAGTTTTGCTGTTTGGGAGCCGGATAGTCGAAAAGAAACGACAAATGAACCAACACTGCCGGCCTGGCAGACCGTAGAGTGTGTTATTTTGGGGGCCGACCTTTCCTAACCCCCCCCTCTTCTTCCATTGATAAGGCTGCATGAGCATCACACTGCTGGTCATCCTAAGGGAAACACCAGCTAGTAGCAGTACGACTTCACCCTCACACCCCCATCATGGTGTAGTAATTTACACCACAACGGTAATTGCTTTTCGTCTAACCACTATCCAACAGACGTTCCTGGTATGGTAGGACCTCGAGGGAACAAGCATAGCTCGTTGGGTCATTTTGATATGCAATCCTGACCACCAGGTCAAGGTAGCAGCTATCGGTTGGTGACTGTTGGTAATATGGACTGGTGTCTAGATAGGTGCTTCGATCTTCCTTTTAATTCAAAGCTTCATATTAATGATGCATGTGGACAGCAGTGGGATTTATCATTCGGATGTATCTACACCTTTTTCAACCTTGCCCATCGCTAGTGTTTGATGTGATTTAAAGAGAAACTGGAAACCGGCAGAGATCGCTTCAAACCCCCTCCTTGTGTGATGGGTATAGTTTAGTATTGTAACTTAAAGATTCTCATTATTGATTGGATCGAAATGTTAGATCACTCAGAGAGAGGAACTTTGTCATCATCAAGATCACCATAGGACTAGGGATTACTGCGTAGCTGTCCAACTGGCCACACCTCATATCAGCACACCAAAGTAACAAGGCAGCAACAAGATGAAGAAAGGAAGCAACCTTCGCTTTTCGTTGAGGTTACTTAGAGTCGACCACTTGTTTCTCTTGTTCCATGGACCCCAGCCGGCTAGTCTGCATCGCCCTCCTACATGGTTCGAACAAACACTTAATGATCTCATGGATTGACTCTGAATACTATTCCAACATGAACCTACTTCGGCCAACATTGTGTAACGAGGCAGATGGTGGTTAGGCTTACATAACACATGTCCCAGTCAGCCAATCTCAATTGATGAAGGTTCACAACCTCATCAACTGACTTTTCTCTCCTGCCTAAAACTTTACATCTGACTTCTGTCTTACTCACTTGTTGACACCACGAAAGGCAACAGTGGTCAAACACCTGAAGCCTTCTTATGTCTTCTGCCTTCAATGGCCATGTTTCACAGTCATAGAGTAGAACAGAGTGGACCACAGCACAGTACACTCGACAATCGGATATCTTGGCGGTGCCACAGATGGTGTAATTTGGTGAAAGTCCACCGAGCCACATATATGAAAGGCTTGAACTCAGTACTCTTCGTTTCAAACTCCAGGGCGTTATCTAGTAAGCCACTATGGGACGATAGCCACCTCTTGTGCCTCGGTGGGAACAGCATCATTCAGCGGGGTGCAGGTACATTCAGTTGACTGTGAGTTATGGATTCCTCTACTACTCACCAAGATCAATATGACATTGTGAATATCGGGCAGTATCGAGGGTTCCTCATAAGAGTCCTTCTACCGACTGAGGTCGAGCAATTTGGCCCTGTATAACAACAGGAAATTACATGTATCCTTACAATCTAATACAGAATTATACTCTACCACAATGCCAAAGTTATACTTTTACATTAATGCTTCAATAATGCCGGTAATTTAAATTTTACTCTCTGCTCAAGTAGTATGTATCGTAACTCACTGTTCCAGCGAGATAGCACTCTGGTCTCTGAAGATGAGGACATTAGATCAGAATCCTGACAGACGTAATATCATTTGGCGAGACGTAGGTAGATTCAAATGGGGGAAAAGGTCAACAACGGATGGGTCTACGGTTCATGCGTAGGGGAGACGACTAAAACGATAGGCAAAACACGTTAAGGAACAGTTTAACTGGACTCCAGCCACCATTGCGTTGCCGGCTATCCACTTGGATGCTGAATGGAACATTGAGATAGGCCCCCCAACAGTTGCAGAAGTCCAGAAAGCTGTAGGTAACTTTAAACGAGGAAGGGCAGCAGGACCAGACGGACTAACTCCAGAGGTATACAAGGATGGTGGTAAGGTGCTGTTAGTCAGGTCAACGGAAGTACTAACCAGTATGTGGGAATCAAGTACGATCCCCTCTGACTGGTCTAAATCACTGATTATTCCAGCCTTCAACAAAGGCAAGAAGTCTTCTTGAGACGACCACAGAGGAATCAGCCTGACGAACATAGTGTTTAAGATTCTAGGTTCCATAATTGTTCGACGCCTGAGTGGAGCTCGGGAACACCAAGCCCGAGAAAACCAGGCAGGCTTTAGACCTGGCCGTGGATGTATCGATCAAATATTCACATTGCGCCAAGCTTTGGAACATAGGTTTACTTACTGACACCCGACAATAGCTGTATTTCTCGACCTGAAGGCGGCATTTGACTCCGTTGATCGAGAAGTCTTATGGCAATGTCTGTCACTGAAAGGCGTGCCTAGTAAGTACATCACGTTATTGAAAGCTCTCTACTCGAACACTTCTGGGCGTGTTAGAACCTGTGGTGGGACATCCGGGAAGCTGTGCTCGTCGAGTGGTGTCTGTCAAGGCCGCCCACTGCCTCCATTCGTATTCCTTTTTATCTCAGATATTCTGATGAGCGTCTCCCTGTCGTCATCTGACTACACAGAGGTTGACCTAATCACAAGAGAATTTTCGTTAGACCTAGAATATGCAGATGACATAAACCTGTTAAGACACTGACTGATGAGATGCAGAGTCTTTTGAACACTTTGAGTGGGAATTTGAGAATGTTTGGGATGCATTTTTTACCACCGAAATGCAAATTATTGCTCCAGGATTTGTATTGAACTGTGCCACGGCTAGCAATAGAGAGTGAGTGCAATGATTGAGTGTGTTGACCACTTGACTTACTTGGGAAGTGAAGTAGGACTGGCCTTGGTGCATTAGTCAGTGGGTGACGACATTTGTGAACGAATGGGAAAGACTCGATTGACTTTTGCCAACTCAAACCATCTGTGGTGCCACCGAGGTATTCGATTGTCTATTGAGGGTTGTGTATACTGCACATGAGTGTGGTGTGTTGTATTGTATGGGTGTGAAACATGACGATTGAAGGTGGGAGACATGAGAAGGCTGGCTTCGAGTGTTTGACCTTCGTTGCCTTCGTAGTGTGGGCCATATTCCGTCGTGTCACCATGTGAGTAATGTAGAAGTGAGGTGTGGAGTTTTAGGTAGGGAGTGGAGGTAAGTCAGTTGATGAGGTAGTTCACCGTCATCGACTGAGATTGTCTGTCTGGGATATGTGTTACGTATGCTTAGTCGCCATCTGTCTCGTCACACAGAGTGTTGTCCGAAGTAGGTTGAGGCTGGATAAAAGGCTCGAGCTAACCAGACTAAAACATGACATTGGTGTATGAAGTATTTGACTGTTGGTCTGAGTTATATGGGGGCCATGCAGACTGGATGGTTGTGGTCGGCGAGACAAGAGAAACCAGTGATTGGAGACTGACTGTAGGTGATATGGCTGAGAAGCGATGTCAGTGGCGTGGATGTATACATACATTATCCTCAACTTAACGATGCTATCCGGAATCTTACCATTTCCTCATTCTTCAGTTCTCTCTTTTTGCACTTTATATTTCTTTTGACTGAAGTGTCTTTTCTCCCTCTTCCAATTCACTGCCTTTTTACTTGATGTACTGATATGAGGTATGGCAACTCGGAACGTTACGCTGTAATGCCCGGTCCTTTGTTGACTTCGATGGATATATATATATATATATATATATATATATATATATATATGCGTGTTTGTGTGCATACATACAATACCGTAACAGTCGTCCATATATGGATCTTTTAAACATCATTAATTTCATGTTTTATCAAAGTTCATCTGTAGAACAAGTATTCTTATTTATTTTTATAGGTGATTTTATTGTTATTATTCATTGTGAACATAGACCGAACATGGTAGATTGAAGTATAGATGGTTAATCTATGAGTATAGTATATCTCTCTTAGGTATCCTTATCCACAACGGTTCACAATATTATCAACTAACTTATCTCAATCTTGACTTAAATCAGCAAACTAGCTTTGAGAAGGGATTGATGAAATTTTAATGAGAAGTTGTGACTTGTAGAGTTAACCAAATCGAAACATGTGGATAATTACTCAACAACGACATTGAATGTAAAGGTCATGGTATAATCATGAACTGACAGAAGTTGGAAATATAAGCCATTAGATTCCAACCCAGTGATAATGTGTTGGCCGTGAAACCTGAAGGTCCTGGGTTTAATCCCTGGAGGACTGAGGTCATGAATACGCACTGCTGAAGAGTCCCATACTAGTTGGACTAAACAAGCTGTCCAGTGCTCTCAGGTTTTCAATTTTTACTCCAATTGATGTCAGTTCATAGTGAATTTTAACCTGAAATCAACTAGAGACTGATGTATTGTTAATAACATAGGTTGTA